TCTTGATGTGTGGAAGTTTTTCGCTGGCTTGGTGTGGGCAACCATGAGTGTGCATGGTGATGTTTGACGCAACAGAAGGAGATTGAGTTAACAGCAAAGCGTTCAGGCAAACACTTGCCGGTCAAATGAGCCTGGTCTTATTAATTGCAAATCAGTAGAGCTATTTAAATAACTATATTTCAAGCAAATCCTCTTCTTTATCAATGGAATTGCTCACGCAGGGCTTCAGTGAAGGAAATGGAGTTGTGTATTATAGTTAACAATTTACCTGACAGGAAATGAGAGACTGATATCTCTACTGAAGAGAATAAATTGCTAAAGCAAAGCTTTTTAAAACATTGCCTTGATTTGGAATTGGCCCCCAGAAGAGCACTATTGATCTAACTCTCTTCATTTGGAACTGAAAACAGGCAATTAAAAATGGTTTTATTACTGTACAGTTACTGCACCTCACCACAGTATTACTAAATACATTATACTGCAGTCCTGAATAAGGTCTGGAAGTTTGATGTCATTTGGAGAAACAAGGAGTCTGGCAAATCTTTAATTGTATTGTATGCTCAAAATGGTTTCCCAGCTAGGAACTGAACGTAAATGATCCGCTTTGGATATTGTCTAACGCCTCCTTTCTCAGCCCCTTGCTCTCCATATGTTTTGAACTGTAACTTGCTATGCTAATCCCAATTCGGACTGGAGTTGATGGCCAAAACGTTAGGAGAGTTAATTAATTCTAATATTAACTTACAGTCCTGGACAGCAGTTAGTTCGGTGGGCCCCTGAGGAGGGGCTGGTGAGTGGGGTGCCCCTCCCATTCCTCCAAAGTGAGCTGCCACAGCTGCCACGCTCTGCATTCGCCTATTGTCTCCAGGTTGGGAAACGAGTCCAGCCACTATCAGTCTTCAGAAGGTTTGCTGCTGCTGCTGCTGCTGCTGCTGTTGACGTTTACATCCCATCCTATCGCCAAGTGCTCAGGACGACTTTCAAAATATAGTGGCTAGTTCTAGACATGACCCAGTTCCCACGATAGGTCTGTTTGTTTGTTTTTACAACTTCCAAGCGACCATGTGGTGCTGCTAATATAATTGGTATTGTGTACCTGCATTATTGGAGCGCACTGCAGTTTGGCAGGGGATGGCATTTAGATTGTGGAAATGCCATGTGAAATAAGGATGGAACAGCCCCTGCCCTGTGGCATTGCACGGCATGGCTGCTTTGAAGTAGAGGCAGATGCAGGGGGTCCTGGTTGTGCATCTCCTGTGCCAGGCCCCATCCTTGCCCTTACTGACCCAGGAGGGCTGAATGAAATGTGTGGCTCTCTTCCTAGAGTGCATGCAAAAGGTCCACAGGAATGGCTTGGATGGTCTGCGAAAACAGCTTCAGATACCTTGCACTGGATCTCGAGTGAGGGTAGTATTTTCAGTCATGGATTACTAGAAAACATTTTAAAGGTGCCCCCGCTCCCTCTCTCGGTCACCTGAATATGATCTCTGAGTTAGGGGAACATTTGATGCTGTAAAGCAGAGCACAGAATGTTCCCTACTGAAATGCCTTCCAAGAACATTACTGTCTCCTGTCACTTCCTGTTCCCAGTCAAGCTGTCTTCTAACACACCCTGGCCACTCCTTCCCATTTCCCCAACATCCTGCCCATAGTTTATGACCCTTGCTATTGCACATATTTGTTATGATTCAGATTGTTTTCTTGTGTTTTGCAACCATGTTAACAGAATCTTATTTCTTTATATTACTATTGAGAAATAATTTGGGTTGAAAGACCACTGGCCATTGCTTTCTAATGTGCAGGACCCTTACGCTTCCAGCAAGTATCTGCAAATGGAGGTTGCATTTGGGAGTGGTCACCCAGGTGGCACTCTTCCAAATAGCCTAAATGGAGCAGATACTTCCTACAGAGAGTATACTCATTGAGTATATTTGCATAGTTACACCACCATAGTAAAGACTCGTTGAACTGGGAATAGGGTCCAGAGGAGGGCAACAGAAATGCTCCAGGGTTTGGAAACATTGCCCTATGAGGAGAAATTGAGAGAACTGGGCATGTTCAGCCTTGAGAAGAAAGTACTGGGTGGGGGATATCCCTCTCTAAATACCTGAGAGGCTGTCACAAGAAGGTCAAGATCCCTTCTTGCTGATACCAGAGTTCAGGCCATGGAATAATCGAGTCAAGCTGAGACAACCCAGATTCAGGCTAGATATTAAGAAAGTTTTCATTACTGTCAGAGCAATACGACAGTGGAACCAGCTGCCTAGAGAGGTGGTGGGCTCTCCCGCACTGGAAACATTCGATCTGGAATTGGACAGCCATTTGAGCGGGATGGTGTAAGTTAGTGTCCTGCAACAGCAGGGGGTTGGACCCAATGGCCTTCATGGCCCCTTCCAGCTCTCCTATTCTGATTCTTTTCAAACATCTTCCCAAATAATCTTTGCAGCAGAGATCTTCAGTAAGTCCACTACTGACGTGCTTATTTTCAAGGCTTTGTGAGCATCCTTGTAACGTATAAGCCTCCTCAGCCAACTTTATTCTTCTGAAAGCCTGAGATGAATTTAAGTAGTTTTTTTAGAGGTGGTTTTATTGATGTCTCCAAATTAATCTTCCATTATGAGGGGAGACAAGAGGAAAATGACTCTGTGTGTCAGTCCTCAGAATTGCTTCAGACATATGTATTTGTAGATGAGAAACTTCATACTAAACTGTATGATACCACAGAACTAGAGTCATTATAAACATGGCTGATATGGAATTCTTTATGGATGTGGGAAGTGCAGACAATCACAAACAAATATGGAGCAAAGAACTTCTCAAATTGCTTAGGAGTCATTCCCCATGAGTTGGTTGTCTAATGATCCAGGCCGTGAAGAAGTACCTTCCCACTGTTCCTATTTGCAGTTACCACATCTTGCCAGGTTTGTTCAGGATTGTGTCCTACAAAAACAGAATTGGAGATATTAACCATGGGTAAGCTTGTCTGAAATAAAACAGACCCCATTTGTCATAATGTTTGTCCAATGCCGTATACCATGCTTGTGAAAATGTCATCGCAAATTGGATTTGCTACTTGTGTGCCAGTGTTTTAGATAGATATTCTGAATAGTCCAAGCTTGCTAGGTCTTAAAGATACAACTATGCAAATTTATAAATTTATTACACAGTGGGAATTTACTGTACCAGCTGAGCTGTGTGAGAGAAGGGACTTGGTTTGCCTGACTGGGCAGCCTGCCGTGGCTTAATTTACCTGTGAGGCTAATGCGTAGTGCTGAGCACCCATGATGCCATTTTTGCAAGGTACCCAGCTTGCTGTAGTTTGTCTTATGTGAACCTAGACAGCAAGGTTGGTTTTACATACATGCAAGCCCAAGGTTTGTTCTAAGTTGTTTGATAGTTCTCAAGCAACCCTTGCCACTTGGGTTTGTATGACACAGCAAGCTAGGTGCCCATGGGAACTGTACAAATGGACTGACAAGTGCCCAAGGTGACAGTCCCCTGAAGATAAATCAAGCCGCAGTGCACTATTGTGATATGTGAACAGGCCCAGCAACCTCCTGAGTGATTTGCCAACTTGTAATATGCATCTGGTCGCCCAAAGTTGATCCAGCTAACTCTAAGCTCCTGCACTAATTACCTGCCAGAGTGCCCAGGGTAAGAGTCGTGTTTTTCTGATGGCACCATGTTGTTTTCATTGGCCCCTATTGGGACAGTCAAGTGCTTCATAAGCGAGGGTGGCATGACAAGGCACCGAGGGCCTCACACACAGCATCTTGGGGCTTCCCATTCCCATAGGGTTCCCGTGATGTTGACACAGGGTCCAATTTTGAGCAGAACATGTTGTAACAGTGGGGTGGGGAGGGGTGCCATGGAAAGACATTTCTGTACGAAGCATAACAAAACCTGATAAGACAACTGAGGATGAGAATAGTAACTAACTTGGAGGCTGCACTGCACAGGGGAACTAAGGGCTAGGCTAGGCAGAATGTGGGGATGCATGCATCTTCCCCCATTTTCTGGAGCAGCTGTGGGAACAGTCTTCTGCCATAAGTACCCCTTAGAATGGATACGGCTACCGGTGGCTACTAGCCATGGTGGCTGTCTATTCTCTCTGCTATCAGAGGCAGTACACCCATGCACCCCAGCTGCGGGGGTAGTCTTTCCCTTGTTGGTTGGCAGTTGTGTGTATGGAATACCGTACTAGTCTGGCATTTTGACAAGAGTCCACATGCCTTTTCTAGTGTTCTTCTCTAATAATAATTCCCTACCCCATCAGCTGCTTTTCTTCCTATGAAAGTAAAGATAGTCTTTGCCCACAAAGTGGGAAAGCAACTTTGCCAGGGGACGGGGAGTGGGTTTTGAACAGACAGCAGGAAGGGCAAGGGTTAAAGAGTCCCTCCTTGTCATTCCTTGGCCCAAACTAGCAACAGCTCTCAACTGCTTCTCATTTGAGAGAGAGATTTTTCTACCATCTAGTTTGGCCCTTAGGCCAATTTCCTTTCAAGAGGTGCTCTTCAGCCACCAGAATATGTTGTTAAATGCATTAACAGTGGGCTTGTATCCAACCATCCCCTTCAGTTCGCAGAAAAGCTTTTGATCCAGTACAGCTATTTGTTACGAACGGGAGGGAGACAGTTCTGGAGAATTCCCAGTCCCCTCTGCAGAGCCCTTGTACCCCCCCACCCCAAAATCCGCTCCAGAGGGTTGTAGGACTCTTCAAAGCAATGTGGGAGGTGGTACAAGAAGCTGCAGAAGTGAGGGGAATTGGCAAAAAAGACCCCCAGCTTCCATGAGCCGGGGCCTCCATCAGAGCAAAAACTCTTCCACTAGTAGAAGGACTCCTTATTTTCATAACACTGGACACAACCCAATGCCCGGGGTTGGAGAAAACAATAGCATAATCAGTTTTCTGTCAGTGCAAGAAGATATTAGAGAAGACTGTCTTGTTCAGCTTGTGTGTCTAGAAGGTACAGAAACAACTGCTTTGTATTCCGTCACAGATCCGTGCTTATATATTCCGCGTTTTGCACACATGCTGGAGTTTGGCGATAAGAACCATGAGGTCTCCATGACGGCTCTGAGGCTCCTGCAGCAGATGAAGAGAGACTGGATGCACACAGGGCGGCGGCCGTCCGGGCTTTGTGGTGCAGGTATTGCGCAGTTCCATGTATGGTGTGTCAGTTGTGCAGAAGATGTTCTGCATGCAGTCCATTCGTTGGCACTTTATTCTCAGAGGGGGTTACGTACTACACTCACCATTACAATTTCATGCCTTAAATCCACAAGCATTGATGTTAACTGAAGCTGAAGGGAGTTGGGCATAATCCATCCTTCCCTGACTTGGTTCTCTCCAGATGTAGGGGACTGCAGTTCCCATCATCTTAAAATAGCATGACCAAACACATATTTCTCAGCACAAGCAGAAACCTATTTTGCAGTGATCCCTGCTGCCAGAAAGAAAATCTGTCAACTGAAAAAACAAAAAATTAAGCCGTAGGGCTTCAAGAAAGACGTCTGGAAGTGCGCTGGTGCTCATGGCTACCGCATTGCCTGGCCCAGCTCTAATCCAGGCCCAGTCAATATGTTGGCCTACCTCATGTCCTCCTGTTGATTAATCCATGTTGTCATATTCCATAAACAGAGTGCAAGGCACCTGAAGGGTGCCACGGAAGCTCTTTTAGAAAGCGTGGCAGTGGATGATTATGTAAGAGTGCTCTAAACCAGGCCAGATTGGATCCAGCCAGCGTTCTTCAACCATTGTCAGCCAGATTCTTCTGGCAAGCTCAGAAATGGAACAGCAGGAAACTTTCATTAAGCTAGCAAAATGGGGCTGCAGCATTTCTTATATAAACGATTTCTCTTTTGATTTAAAAAAGTATCTTACATTAACTGGAGGGAAGGTTTAAATAAACTGCTCTGTTTTTAATAGAAGTACTTTACAGCAACAAGCTAAGGTGACATCACAGAGAAGCAGTTCCTCCAGACAGGAGAAGATGCTTGTTTTAAGATCATATCTGCTGTAGCATGTGCTGATTTTACCTTGTAAAATAAAGAGTGCCCTTTCCTTCAGAATTATTGCTTGTTCACATGCAAATCTATTCTGATTAAATTGATTGATTAAGATTTCTTTACTTGAGTGATGGCCCTCTGATTAACTATAGTACAAAGAAGAAACTTACTTGTCAGCACCGCTGATTATACATCAGTGAATTTTGTGGGGCTATTCTGAAGTTCTAGTACTGTGATGGAGGTAAAATGCCTTCCTTTCCACCCTTCAACATTTTACAAGCCTTTGTTGTAAAGCCCCAGATGGCTCAGGCCGTGATGCATGTTATAAGACCAGACATCTGCCTTTCCCTGCCCCACCCAGTGCCTATATGTCCTGTGTACAGCTGGATAAGGTCCAAACCGTCCTTATGTTAGTCAAGTCCCTGCACGCATCAGTCCCGGACAAAGGAATCCTCATAAGCTCAGTCACAGACTCCTACAAGTGGAGGGCAGGACTGAGCAATGCACTGCATCAGAGGTACACGCAGACGGGATTGCTCCTGAAGGACAGAGCAAGTAAGCCAAGCTGCCTCTCCTTTCCCGTCCCTGATTTGACAACCAGAACACCAAGTGCAGCCAAAATGTTTACAGCAGAACACCAGCTACAGGCAAATGCATGAAGCAAACCATGAAAAGCATCTTTTCCTAGAGGAATAACAGCACTGTGAGCAGAGCTGAGAATTGGAAAGGACACATAGCCATTTCCTTGACTGTTGCTTCTTTGCTTCAGATTTCCTCCAAGTTGCTTTTAGGATGGGTTCCAAATGCAAATGTTGGAGGCAAATGTTTGCATTCCCCAGGCAAGGAAGACACGTTGGAGCAAAGGGGCAGAAGGCAAAGAAAAGGTTCTGTTGGTATTTTTTTTAAACTTGTTTCACATGATATTAGGGTGGAACAGAGGGAGAAATGGACAAAGAGACCACTTCAGCAGCTTCATTAAACTTCTCTCTCAGCCAATTCCATTTCAGATGGTCATTCTGAGAAACTTGTGACTATAAGAACTTGTGACAGACTTTGCTTCCCCATCCCCATCCCTCACCTTGCTATTGCTTTTCTTCTTCTGTGGTTACTTCAGTTATGAGCCATCTGGGAGGAACAATATTCTTTGTTGCTGCTTTCATGTAAGCCATCCTGGGAGCCTTTTTGGTTGAGAATCAGCTCCAAATAACGTGCTGGGTATCTAGAATTTAAGGCTTTTCATCACTTCATTCCTGTTGCTACTCCGAGGACGATGAGGAATTTGTACTCCCCAACCCACTGCTCTTTCTTTTATTTCCCAAGTGGGGCAAAAAATTACTTTTACTCTGTAGCCACTATCTAATATCTTATCCTCAGATGTGGCTGTCTTTCTGCCTTCAGAGAGAAGGTGGCAAATCCAGAGCCATTGGAAATACTATTCTTTCTGATCTTAATTGATCGTGGAAAATGGACATAAAATTACAGCATATAGTGTTTCACATATTATCCACTTTGCTGAGGATCTCTGACTCTTGATCTGAGGCTTTTAAAAGTCTGTGATCTTTTGCAATTTCTTTTTGCTGAGTTTCAACAATAACATACTTGAGGGGGAAATGCAGAATGTAACAGCCATTCCAATAAAGGGAAGAAAATAAATGGATGCATTTGGGAATACTGTTGGAATTGCTTGAGCTAGGCGAAAGACACAATCCTGTGCATATTTAGACAGTAGTCAATGTCTGCAACTCCCAGCATGCTCCACTCAGCTTTTCTGGAGCATGCTGGGAGATGTAGACCTTTTTTCTGCCTTGGCATACACAGGATTGCCCCGTAAGCCTGATGATCCCCACCCCAAGACTCAAGCATGCTTAGGTTAGCATAACCCCACCCCTCTTTTTGCATAGTCCCTTAGCTTCAGTATCAAGGGTTCCCACACCTTTGCTTTGGCTTTGCCTGATCATATAACTGGGGCATAGTACACATGTTTTGAGCATTGCTGGAACTCTTTGGCTAGCAGTGTTTGTGAGCATTGAGGAAGATGCCCATCTGGGACAAACTCCTTTGAGGTAAATACTAGGTTGCATGTACCATGCCATTTTTGCATTTTGCTTAATTTTGCTTCGTACAAAGTTAAGTTTTCTAGAATTCCAATTAAATCACTTTGTATTCAAGCCCAGAGCTGAACATCAATTTTTTAAGATTATTATGAGAATCAGAGTTTCAGTTTGTAGTTGCATGACTTACTTTATTCCCTCACTTCCTGCACACCAAAATAGCTTTTGATGTGGCCCTTTCCTCGTTTTTGACCTAGCTCTTCTGGTTGCGGCAAGAATGCACGACTTTCGGCGCACTGTTAAAGAAGTCATCAGAGTGGTTAAAGTTGGTGAATCTACACTGAGGAAAAGGTAGGTCATGTTTGTGTTCTTTTCTGCCCTGAGATTTAGAGTATTTGCTCCATGGAGAACTAGATTATTTTCCCTTTATAAAAAAGCTGTGTGAGAGCAGCAGAGCTTCCTGTTTATTGGACTGTAAACGCTAGTGCACATCAAGGTCATGCTGTGTTGGGGGGGTGGGGGGAGCTGTTCTCCAGCCCATTGTCTCAGTGGTCCTTTGCAGGTGTCAAAGCTGGATTTGAAAAGATGAAGCCTTCCTAGGGAGAAGGTACTGTTCTGTGAAGTACAGAGGTCATGTTGAACCCGGGGGTTTTGGTTTGAGGTTGAACTCTGACATTCCTCTCTCTCTCTCCAGACAGCTAGCCCCGCTGGCAGTGATATTCCTGGCCCTATTGTCTCTTGCAGCATAGCCTGTTTTGTGTTTTCTCTCAAAAGGTGATCTTGCAGCCAACATTTCGATGGAGTTAGGAATAGGCAACCTAGATTCTGGGACTACAAGTCCCATCAGCCCCAGACAGCATGACAAGGGGGAGGGATGAATGGGAATGGTGGCCCAAAACATTTGGAGGATCCCAGCTTGCGTACTTCCTCCCATACAGCCTGAGTTTGGCAAATCTTTTTTTTTTTTAAGTTGTATTTTTATACTACCAAAGTTCTCTGGATGGTCATAGCAATTAGAAACATAAATTACAACATACATTATAAAAAATTAAAAGTTTGAACCTAGAGTATAAAACAAGTATGGTCGAGTAAAACCTAGTAGCATGCAAAGATTTGAAATCTAGTAAAAGAGACTGAAGGACTTCATTTCCTGCGAAAATAAGGTTGTCATGTGGTGCTGGGAAGAATACTGTATAGGTGCCAGGTAAGCCTCTCTGAGAGGTTCTTTCCACAGCCAGGATATGCAGCATAAATGGTCCTCTTTTTTGTAGCCGCTCACCTCACCCCCTTTTGGGAGGGGGCTCCGCAGAAGGACCACTGAGAACAATCATAGAGTTTGGGCCGGTATATACCGGAAGAGGTCATTCTTTAGGTAACCTGCCCCCAAGCTGTTTAGAGGGTTGAATATTAATACCAGGCCTTTGAATTGGGCCTGGACATGGACAGCGACCTCTGCAGATGGTAAAGTCCTGGCCTAATATGATCATGTTGGCCAGCCCCTGTCCAAGCCATAGGGCACCAAGGTTTAAGGAAGATGCAGGTAAATTAGAAAGGGTCCAGCGGAGGGTGAAAAAAATGATCCAGGGTTTGGAAACACTGCCCTGTGAGGAGAGACTGAGAGAACTGGGCATGTTCAGCCTTGAGAAGAGAAGAGTGAGGGGGGACATAACATCTCTCTATAAGCACCTCAAAGGCTGTCACAAAGAGGAAGGTCAAGATCTCTTCTTGCTGATGCCGGAGTGTAGGACACGGAATAATCAAGTCAAGTTGTGTCAACCCAGATTCAGGCTGGACTTCAGGAAAAGCTTCTCACTGTCAGGGCAATACAGCAGTGGAACCAGCTGCCCAGAGAGGTGGAGGGCTCTCCCACACTGGAGACATTCAAGAAGAACCTGGACAGCCAGCTGAATGGGATGGTGTAACTTGGTGTCTTGCAACAGCAGGGGGTTGGACTCGATGGCCTTCATGGCCCCTTCTAACTCTTCTATGATTCTATGCCGCTGTGATTGCTGAATGTACACTGGTCCTATATGCCTTTCATGCCAAACTATTTCTTCAGCCTCATCCTAAGTAGATCTTCATCTTAAGGCAGTTGCCAAAGTTCATATCAGGATGGGGGAAATATGTGGGAACTCAGTTGCTTCCACCCAGAGCCCATGAAGAGATGCATGTGCACATGGAAGTTTTCCCATTATTGCAGTGCATGAAGCAGCTTCCAGATGCACATTGTATTCTATGCATGAGGTTCCCCTTCTCTTGAGCGAATAGGGATGCCTTCCGTTGTGAGAAAGAGCTCTGTGTGTAATTTGAAGCTTCCTGAACTTTCAGAAAATGGATGGATTCCAAAATTAGTTGGAATGTAAGACAGAGGTTCTGTTGTTTTACCAGTCCATCTTTTAATGTGAGCCAGTGTGGTCTGTCGGTTGGAGTGTTGGCCTGAGGATCCAGGGTCTCTGGATTCTAGTCCCCGCTTGGCCATGAAGCTCGCTGGGTGACTTTGGGCCAGGCACTTATTCTCAACCTAACCTACCTCACAGGGATGCTGCTGTGAAGATAAAATGGAGCAATGTAAGCCACCTTGGGTTTCTCACAAGAGGAAAAAGGTGGTGTATAAATGCAATGTAATAAAAAACAATAGTTCTCAAACTGGGAAGGTAAGGGATTATTTTAAGTATAATTCATGGGACATGTTTGGTTTTTGCAACTTGCAGTACAGAAGCTGACTCTCTGTGTACTTTGCTGCTGATTTAAAACTCTCTTTAAAACCCAGGATTTGAAATATTTCAGGGTTTGATTTGAACCAGAGGATCATCTTTATGAAATAATGCACTGTAATTGGTTGGCTTACGTAATATTAAGTGATTGAAATTTTCCATATTCCTAATAGTTTTAAATTCCCCCTTTTCACTTTTCTTAGACAAAACAAAACAAAATGGTTTTCTGTTTAAAAGTTTGTGTTTTGGCCAAGAGGTTGACCCTGAAAAACAATACCCTGCCAGAGTGATAATTAAGGTTATTTTCACCTCTCTCAAAAATAATCCAAGAAAGTAAGTAGTTGCACAATTCTCTTTTTGGTATTTCTGTTGCTAATGTTTCCAAAATTTGTTAAAGGTGTATTTTTCCCCTGGAGCAAACAATCCAGTGGCCCCTGGACAGTGTCTGAGCAGCCATAGGATAGTTCAGATTCCCAGATCTGAGGTCCTGACAGCATTCTGACCTTGGAGCCAGGAACCAGGGCTTCTAACCCCTCCTTCCTTTTGCAGCTGTTGTGGAAACAACCACAATGGCTGCTCTCCAAGTTTGGGAAAGCGACCTCAGAGATGCGGAATAGGAGGCAGGGAAGAGAGGAGAGCGGTGAGACCAGGGTTCAGGGTATGTAGCTGCTGCAGAACCTTCCCTTTTTGCTTCAAGGCATTCTAGCGACATGGGTGAAAAGGCCAGCCTAGCAGAACGTGCAGGGTGGGAGGCTGTGGAAGTGAAAACAGCCTCCTTTGCTCCTTCCACTCCTCATAGGGTGACCACAAGCCTCCGAATTTGGGAGCTTGCAGGCAGTATGCCAGGGTTGTTCCCTAAGGTGTGTGTTCTGTTTTTTAAAGAAAGACATTGCAGGAAAAAATAAAAAATTAATTCCGTTTGCATTTATGAAAGCTAGAGAGCTCCACTGTTTGAGGCAAGTAAATATTTGGCTTGATGTCCTGGGTAGTCAAAAGAGATCCTAAATGGTAGAATTGCCAGCTGATGAAATAATTTCTAGTTATTAATTACTTACTTTTTGGCTGGTCAATTAATTAAAAGATTATATATAAATACAGTTGCTTATTGCAACACCTTTCTGAGACACTGAAGGAAGTATATAACAACTTCCTTTAATGAATAGAGAATGACTGTTGTTAAAAGGAAAGGCCACCTGTAAAATTTTGCTTTTCATTCTAAATATACCGGGGCCTTTAACTCTCAGTACCACTAGTTAAATTTTATCAATATTCTTTTAAATTAAATTTAAATTTTAAATTGTTTTAACTGGCCCAGGGAGCCACGTGGCTAATGGAGTGGGTTAGAAATCTAATAAATAAGAATATAATAATAATTCATTGCTATCAGTGTTGCATTAAATTAATTCAATTTATTTAACCAAGTTAGCCCATGGTCGTCATATTCCCAATATTCTCCATGATTGTCATGGAAAGGATCCTACTCCAGGGCCTGGGATCTCAAGGCAGAGCTAGGAAAGAGCCCATTCTGAAACATAGAAACAGAGCGAGTCAGAAGGGGCCTCCCGGGCCATCTAGGCACCTCCTGTTTTGTAACGATTTAGCAGCAGAGAAGCCCCGTGTGTCTTCCTCTGGAGCCCCTGCCTTTTGAGAGTGTTCTGTGGCAAGTCAGGGCACACAAGCACCATCAGTCAGGTCTGCTAGCCCTCACGGTGGTCCTGGGCTCACTGAGCATCCACTCTGGAAAGCACTGGACACATCCCTGTGGCCGGGCATTGCTCGACAATACCTGTTGTGATCTTCTCAGGAATATTTGCCCGCCATTACTGGCTTTTTATTTTTTCATTCAGGAACCTCTGGGAAGAACAGAAAAGAGCCCTCCTGGATCAAACTAGAGATCCATCTAATTCCATATTCTGCCCGCATGGGCCACCCAGGAAGCCCACTCTTGCTATTGTGCCAGCAACTGGCACTCTGGCCTTCTCCAACTGGGTCTCCTCCAGATAGGACAAATGTAATAAATAAGAAAATAAATATGTTGGACTGCAATGCCCATCATACCCACTGATTCTGGTCAGTTGTAATTCGACGTATCTGGAGGATACCAGGCTGGATGGACAAGGCTGCCCACGATGCACATTACCTCTCAGCAGTAAAGTACTATCTAAGCACCTTGACTAGTAGTTCTAGCTAGTGCTAAGGTTTATCCTTTGTGAATTTGTCTAATCCATTTGATTCAACCCAGGCTTCCTCCAAACCCAGGTTGAAAGCCATCGTTCTCACTGACAGATATTTAATAGTTCAACCTGCTGATGGTCCACAAATTTGTGTAGTCTTCTTGATAAGCTTCCAAGCAAATCCAGGCCGCCCGGGAATACTGTTTCAAAGCCCCATGATCATTGGGTAATCTTAAGAACCTCATATTTAAGATGATTCTGAAGCCTCCGGCCCCACTAAGCAGATGCTTGTCATGATTTTCAAATGACTTGGATGGAGAATTTGATGCACAGGCTTCATTTTATTTGAGTGATCATAAGTATGTTGAAATGCAGTGGAAGCACATTCATTTGAGCAGTTGTTTAAAATGAAGGAGCGTAACTGCAAAATTCGTGCTTTGAAATGTTTACTCAGGTCATGCAC